TATATATATATATATATATATACATTAAAGACGCTAATATAAAACAAAATTTTGAAGATTTACATTTATGTTATTATAGAATGTGTCCGAAAATCGCGGATTGATTTTTATGACACATATTCTTCGATGAAATTTTATTCTTTTCGACAAAGCGCAGTCTTGTCGGAGGAAATCACTTATTGCAAATCTTTGATTTTCAAGATAAAATATCTTTAATAAAAAATTATATCTGTATGCAAAGTTTCCTTTAACGAAAAGTCTATTTAAATCAATTAAATCTTAAGTCGTCAAAATTTCACATGATGAAGATAAGAGAGACATTTCGTATATAGTTATATATACACATTTACTCGCAGTGATATAAAACTAATCCACGCTTAACTGTTTGTGAAATTATAGCAAATTTTTTCCGAATGTATAAGAGTTACAGGAGAAAAGAAGGGATGTATTAAAAATCTTATATATTATTTATTTTATATTATAAATCGCAATTTTAAAATATTAAAATATTTTTAATATGAATTTTTTTGACACGATACCATATTAGATATGTCAGAGGTGCACGTATTTTATTATTAGCTCTAAAGTAATGTTGAATTTTTAATAAAACTATCATTTATCCCTATTAATCGATTATAAACAAAAGCATAAAAAATTAAAGGTGGAACGACGTTAATGTACTCGTTATTGTTGAAATGCAGGGCATAGCCTTAATAAATGAATTAAATGTATTGCAAGCCAACGCGTTTTATAATGATGAATGTTAATAAAATTATCTCTTTGCAAAAACATACTGCGTCAATTTTATCCCATCTATCTATATGTTGCGATATTTTTACAGCGAGTGAGAATATATTATATAGAATATAAAGTAAAATAAATATTTTTTATCATTTATAAAATTCAATAATTTTTTACAATATATTACGAGATAAGAAAGTCAGGGTGTTTACTAAAATCTTATTAAAAAATTCTCTGAAATTTCCCTGATCCTTCAGGAACCTATATAGATTCAAAATTCCAGATAAAGAGAATATTTAAGATGTAAAGAAGAAGACATCTCTCGAGAGAGTATTGAATACAGCTGACATATATTTTCCGTCGTATATCATATTTCGCTAATAACATTACATGATACAATAATTAAAAAATATACTGTATTTTGCGAAATTAGACAGTCGATACTATAAGTAAAATATAATATTAATATTTAATAACATTCGCGCGTGACGGTAAAGTTGTGTCTCGGCGATCGATCGATATATCGTCGCTCTTTTTCACTATTCGTCTTCCTTTCTCCTTCTCTCTCTCTCTCTCTCTCTCTCTCTCTCTCTCTTTTCTCTTTTTCTCTCGTCTACTATATTTGATTAACGAGTTTGACATGAATACATTTCAATACTCTTCTCTGTCAATAGTAATTAATCCCTATTTATATGTCGAGTCACCTCGATCGGCTCGATATGGCTAATTAAAATTGAAAAGATTTAAGACTACGGACGATGGAACCTCACTCGCGCGTTTTAATTAGCGTACTGCTTAAAAACAGAAATTCGTTGTGGCCACGAGCAAAATCATTCGTCACACGACAGCATATAACAAGCTGCTTAGTATTATCACTATCGTTTCCAAGTGGAGGAATGAATGTATAAGGCCGAAACGATCCTGAATAGATCTCGACAGAGGCGTATAAACGATGAAAGTGTGTAATAAAATATAAATAAGACAAAAGTGCATTTTTTTACGAGATTATTAAGATCACTGGACAACAATCAAAGTTTTTCTGAGAAATAAAATTAGATACTTTATTTACGCGGAAAGAGTTTATATGGCATTAGCCATTGTTTTTGGAAAAAGAGATCATCAATTGTCTATGATTTCAATATTTTGTATGTCGCAATTCCTTTTTTTTTTTTTTTTTTTTTTTAAATAGAGAATTCAAGATATAAATTCGTGAATAATGTACAAAAATAAAAATGAGAATGATTTCTTTTGGAAGCGATATTTGTATTGATCTGTGTATATTGCATTCTACTTATGCGATGTTAGTATTGCAATCTGTGCATCTCTCTTTTTCTCTTCTGGAAGATAAATCTAATAATATTCATAAGCTTAAAAAAAACGTAGAGATATGAAAGATAAATTGTTTTTCACAAATAATACTCGAAATTTCTCAGAATACTGTCAAAAAAAGAGCCTTTTTACGATATTTTTTTACTCTGTCGTAACACAGATTTGACGGCGAGAAATGGAATAAATGTTGCATGATTTCAACAAATTCATCGAAGCACTAAGTGGAACGTGAATATCTCTCCAGCGTCGGTCGGCTCGACTTGCGTGACAATTTCTTTTGCGCAAAATCGGCTAACATTCTCCACTCATTTCATTTGTACAGAGTTTACTCTACATAAGTTGTTCCTTAAATTCTAATATTGCTACGCTTTGTTCTTCACATATTAGATCACTAAGCTCTTTTTGGAGTACTGCGTCATCATCCGCAAATACTCTCCAAATGCAAAAGAGTCTAAGAAGATCAAAAAATTCAAAGTCTTAGAATTAAAGGTGAGGAAAGGTTTCGCGTTCAATGATAACATTTTGATTATCACTTAGCGTCGAGAAGACTAATAGAAAAATTGCATAGAGTGAGTCATTTAAGATCTCAAGTTTCGATCGATTAATATAATCATATGCTGCAATTCGAAAGTTGTGTATCCTTAAATTGATATCCCTTAATCTCATAAAGTATAAGTGAAAAATGTAAAAATTATACCTATAATATATATTGTACGACAGCACATGCAAGCAAAAATGTCCTTTCTTGCATGATTTACAGATCGCTCTCAATAGTAAAAGTAATGTGTTGAAACATTTTATCGAAAACGTAAACTCATCGATTTAAATAATGCTATATTCATTATTTAAATTTAATAAAAGACGAGTTTTGAACTTTTCCGAAATTTATGCGCTCAGAATTTATGTTGTAATAGCACTCTTATGCTATATGCAATAAATATATATATATCAATTCTGATATATCGTTACAACGTAAACCTTGTAATGTTATGTTTGTTTTATTTATGTGATCCATTAATATATATATACACATATCTAAATCAGAAAAAGTCCATTTAGAAAGATTTGTAAAAATAATTAATATAAACCGTGAATATCTCAAGTAATTCACTCTACACATTGATAAGAAATCCTTCTGCAAAACAACAAATTTTAACAAACGAAAATAATTTCTCCTTCTAAGTACTCTATTAATGAAAAGAGATGACTATTGAAGAATAACACACAAGAAGAAAAGTGAATTTCATTTCTCCACTTCTAAATTCACTAAAACGTCGATATATAAATGAATCAAGATTTTTAGCATCTTTCGCATTTTAAAATAAAGATCTCCTATCATAAGTTAAATCATCCATTTTGTATCTCTTTTCTATGAAACATCTTATTCATTCTATAAAAGTGGAGTCTTTATTCGGAATCTAAGAAATAGAGGCTATACATCAGGATTCTACAGAGCTTCTATATAGCTTTGAAATTCTATGGAGAATAGAATTTTCGTTCAAGCTCTATACAAAGTAGGGCCTTGATCCGAAAGCTAAGCTAGTGCTGTCTGTACTTGTGAAATGCGCATTATATAAATATAAATCTTTTTAACTATCCGCATTCTTTCCTCACATACACATACGCACATGCTCATACGCGTCCTATTCTTCTTTTTTTTCTATTTCCTAGCTACCTTCACTACTTTGTCGTACTTTTTTAAGTGCATAATGGCGTAAGAGTGAGTAAATCGTATATATATAGTTGTATAATTTAAATATATATCTTAAACCCCCCTTCTCCCTTCTGCTGCCGAGAAAGATAAATATAAAATTAACGCGTACAATAACATATATATCATGTGGCCCGGCCTATCTGTCTCCTTCTTATGTACATTCGCGAGTTTTCGTCGCAAAATGATTCTTGCCTCTCGATAAACTTATTCAGTACTCCCGAGCTTTATCTTACGCCGTACTAGTTTCGACAGAAATTATCAATTACTTTATAATAAGATTATGTTGGTCCGGAAGTAATATCAGGAATATTGGACGCGTCGCGTACGAGAATGGATAGCTCTTCTTCTCGTCGCGACTGTAATAAATACGCCCGTATTTATCATTATGTTATTAATGGTCCTTCTTAACAGAACACACGACATTTTTTTTGGTCAAAGAGCTAAAATTTCGTTTGTACTTTGACGCTATGTGGAGAATCGCCGGCTAATCGGATTCATCTTTAACATTCGTATCCTCTTCATTCATATGTAGTACCATTAGTAATAAAACTAATTAACTTATCGCGTGTGGAAATACAACTATGCACAATACCTATTTCTTGGTATGTCTTTCTCTCTTTTTTTCCGGCAGAAAACGCACGACGAAATATCTAGAATGTTCGGAGGAAACGAATATAAGGCAGATATTGGATAATTTTAATGCACATGTCGATAGATAAAATGTAAATACAGATTTTATTTTTTACTTTTCTGCTAATATTTCTTTCAGTCAAATAAGTCATTATCAATCATTTTCGCGGTAATTGAGATATATTTTGTAGAGACATTATCATTTTCATGTCCTAGCATATCGCAATATCGGTACTGCTTAGTGTCAATGCTTCATATCGGATTATGTAAATTTTAGAAAAGTTACTTTCTGTTTTATATTTTAGATTCGTGACTTTTTCCTCCAAGTATCCTAGATACTTTGAATATTTAAACCATCCTACATCTTGCTTGCTATAGTTCGAAGATAAAAAAATGCAATTTTACTTTATTAGGTCCTATTGTTGTTGGTGTTATTGCCGCTGGTGGTATTGTTGTTGTTGTTATTGTTGTTGTTATTATTGTTACTGCTGGAATTGAGAGGGCTGCTGATGTTGTCGATCTCGCGTTGAGCTCGCGAAATCTTTACTTTGTCACGCGGCGTACCGTCCTCGCCGGTCTCCATCGCGAACATCTTCATCTTCTCCTTGAAGCTAAGCTTCTCCGGCACCGCGCCAATTTGCGAATTTTGTTGCTGCTGTTTCTGTTTCTCTGCTAATCGTTTTTGTCTCGGATCCCTGGACAAACAAAGATGTTCCATAGACTCTTGCATATCAGAAGAATTGTTTATTTGTTCGGGACTGTAGTCCTCTTTCATTCTAGTGCATAGAATAAACTTACTTATATACTTCTTGAGCCCCAATCACTCCAGGGGTGGCACCAGTAAATGAAGTTCCGGACCCTTCCGGCGTCTTGGGAGATGCCAATAGATTCTCCGCGTCGTTGATAAAATTCTGAAAGCATAATCGAACGGTTTAGCAACATATATTATATTTCACGTCTAATTTGCATATGCAATTGTATCTTCTCGGCAAGAATATAATCTGAGATATTTGAGATCAATAAATTATCTACTTAACAATGGAAAGTTATATTTTATAATTAATTTAGTATTTTTATAATTGTGTGTAATTAAAAATATTATAAACAATAGGACATTATATATAAAAAAATCGCTATTATTGCATCAATTTTAAATTAATATATTATTATATTATTAAACGAAACTTCTTAATAATTAATTTGATAGTTAATGGATAAATGCAGAATAATAATAAAAAATGCATGATAAACAAGATTCCTGGATTAAATTCTTGCCAAGAAAATATCGATTTTGAATGCTTTGCGACAGGTTACACACTTTTTGGAGTCTGAATAATGTACCTGAATAATGTACGCGTAAAGCAACGATTACAGAAACTAGCATCAATCATGTGTAGATGAATGAAATACGAATAAAACATCTAGTAATGAATATACAGCGCACAATACATTCGAATGAGATATATATACATATCTCATTAAACAATAATGACTGACAGTCCATGCATCAGACATTTATAATGATGTAGCGACAATATCTGTTTTGTAAATTATATCTTACTTGTTTATATGTATATCTGCCATTGTATGCATTTCGAGAGAATATTCATATTTATAATAAATGCGTATTAACGATGGAGAAGTTAACTCTTTGAGAAATTAAGTTTTTAGTTGATTATCTAAAATACAGACGGTACAAGACGGTCGAAAGATGAAAGTGTACAAAATATATTTAGCTTCAAATACCATAAATATATAAAAAAATATACATGATTCTATAAATAACATTTTTTTTTTACTTTCTTCGAGAGAACTAATAAAGTATATACATATGACTTGCGATAACATATATAGGTACTGAAAAGAAAATATGAAATCGAGATTCTTAACTCAATGTTAACAGGAAACAAACTTAGATAAAGGAGACATAAATTAACAAGTAGGTAAATGAAATAAACTTTAAAAGAATTAGAAGATACCACATAAAGAAAAAATGACTCACGTTGGGATCCTCTCTAATAATGTCCATTGACATCGATGATGGATTTGATGATCCGGACATATTGCGCAGCATAGACTCGCTATTTGCATTCGAATCATGAAAAGAGACTCTTTTCATCGATGCTGGCTGTTGAGAAGTGGGAGGTAGATTAGAAGCGGTCGAACCGTTTGACCTGAGAGCGCTTTGCTGAGACATAACGGCATAACTGGAGCCTCGTTCCGGTGGCGGGGGCGCATCGTTTACGCTATTTTGCGAGGCTAAAATAGAGAAATAACATTTTCAAATTTATCTTCAATTTTTTATCATTGATAGAGGATATAAATATTCCAAAACAATTTTTTTTCTTATGGGAAATGTAGAGACGAAATGCTCTCACAATCCATGGAAGCTTTAGAGGCATATTTAATTTACTAACGCATAGACACGCTGGGTCCATTAATAATCAAGTTATCCAAGCGTAGCATGCCCGGGTGCAGCTGGCTCCTTGGGTGTTGGCTCTGCTGATATGTTTGCTGCTGCGGCGAATGCAGCTCCTCCTGTTTTTTCTGATTCTCTTCGAATTCAGCTTGTTTCCGTTTCACCTCGTCTATTCTCCGTTGTAATTCCCTGTCCTCCGTGGAATGCGATATGGGATACGTCTTCTGACTGGAACCGAAATGGCTGGAAAGGGATGTGCCATAATTGGGCGACACGTGCTCCTCGCTCTGACCCGTTGTCGTTTGCTGCTGACTCGGTTGCATGTGTAAGCCGCTGTTCTCTTGACCGAGGCTACTCATCCCGATGTTTTGAGGCGCCGCTTGATTGGGCAGAACATGTGAGTGGCTGCTGGCGACAGATTGGCTACCAATAGACTGGAGAGGTAGACCACCTCTTATAGACTGATTGCCTGTGTTCGTTCTCGATAAGATTGGTAGCTGCTGAGTCCCTTGGGCAGTTCTTTCCTGACTAGCCGCCATTCTTAGTAAACCTTGAACGCGTTGCGCGCTTTCATTATCCAGATCATTACTTTCTTCATCGTCATCTTGATTAGCAGCCTCTTCTGCTCGTTTCTGAAAATCTCTTTCCAGTTGGAGCGCTCGTAGCTGCTCTTCCTGCTGCTGCGTTCGATGCGTCGACGCGCTTAACTCGGCAATTTGCTGATCTCGCCATTGTCGGGCGGCTTCTCTTCTGCGGGCTTGTTCCTAAAGGATAACAATGTCAAGCAGCTCGTTTAATTAAACTGTTCTTAAATTAGTATAAGTATTAAAATAAAATAATACTAAAGTAATACTAAAATTATTAGATATTTAGCGATAAAATTAAGATTTCAATGTAGAAAACTGAATCTAAGATTCAAACTTTGTTTATATGTATTTATTATTACTACTATTTTCTTTACTATTACTATCAATTTATTTTCGTCGCTATTAATCTCCATTACCTTTTCCCTTTCTTCTCGTTGCCAAGGGTTGGTCGCACTGTATTGATATTGACGCGGTTGCTGCATGGCGTTGATTCCTCCCGCAGGATAATAACTACCCCGTGGTGGATCTTGCATGCTCGCGGTGTACCTAAAAGAAAAGATTTTCTTCTATTGTCTAGGAATTGAAATTAACATAATGATCATACCGCGCGAGATGCGTCAATACACACATACACACCTCGTGTCGGCTTGCTTGTACAGAGGATGTGTTGAAGTGCTTGGCGGCGGTGGCGGCGGGCTTTCGTTAAACGCGTTCTCAGGTGGTAGAGTCGGTCTCGTCGGCAGAGTTTCCGACGTCGTCATAGAATGACCCTCCCCCCCGTTCTGCGCTCGATTGACGACACCATCATTCGCATACTGATCGACACGCTGCTCCAGATTGCCATTCGGATAGATCGAACTGTTCTGCGAACCGACGAAATGTCGATTCTGTTCGGCGTACGATCTTACCTCTTGACTGTTCGAATCTCGAGTGCCGAGTAGATTTTCATTGGGCATCGGATGGTGACCGCGAACAATCGCTGCCTCATTCTTCGGCTTGGGCATTATCGGACCGTATTGACCACCAGCGGATACCGGATAGCGATTGGGATATTGTTGATTGTATTGGCTATACTGCGTGCTGTTGTACTGTGTGTCCGGATAATTGTAACCGGGCGCGTTTTGTCTCGCAACGTAACCAGAATTCGTGCCCAGACTTGACGTGGAGCCGAGCGGTGTTCTCGGCGAGCGAACGTTCATCAGGGTATTCGAGGCCTGCTGAGCAGGAGGCGCGGCTACTCGTGAACCGATGTTGTACATTGCCGCAGGCGGTCTGTGTTGATTGAGTATTGGCGCGCCACCACCTCGCAGCTCGCGCCGACGAACCTCCTCCTGCATCTCCTGCATCTTCGCCTCCTGACGAATTATGTCGCGCGAGGACTGGGAACGCGGCGGTGGCGGTCCGCCAATCTGCTGCTGCATCTGCTGATTGCCGGTCATGTAGCTTTGCTGCTGCTGCTGGCCTTGCGGCTGGGTGACATATGCGGACGTCGGACGGTCTCGGATGTGGGCGCCGCTCGCTTCCAGCGCGCCGGACGGCCGGTTCAGCGAGTTTTGCGAACCTCTCAAGGAACTCTTTTGAATGTGCTGAGGGTTTCTGTAAAAAGAGTAACGCTAAATTAAGATTATTTAAAATAACGTTTAAGAAAAGTTATAAGATTCTTCTATACGCACAGTGATATATTTTCATTTTACACATACTTGATCAAATATAAATGAAATGGGAAGGCAATACAAGAAAAATGATAAAGAATTGAAAAATCTATATATAATTAAGAATCGAGAGTTCGACTATATTCCGTACCTGTCTTCCAACTGTTGCGGGCTAATTTGTTGCTTCATCGAATCTTGATTTCGATAAATACTCAGATTCTGATAAAATCTCTCCGCTTCTGCGTTTTGCATATTTGACGGTGCATTTGTGTGCGTCGTATTCGGATTTAAATTGGGCGATGACTGCTGCCTACTGACTAATCCACTGGGTGGTAAAGTCCCGATTCTCATGGGATCGTGCAAGTTATGACTTGACCTACACGTACAACAGAATATATATTATCCTTACAAGTATATTATTATTACCAATTTTTAATTGCATTAAAAATTTATTTAATTATTAATTGAAATGTTTAAATTTCTAATAATATTTTTAATTTACATTATTTTCAAGCTACACAGTCCACTCAAATTAGTCAGATTTTAACAGGATAGAAGCAAAATAAATTATACATATTAAACTTCCGATATACTTTAGATTTTATAATTGATATACTCAAAAAATTGATCTTTGTAATTATTAAGAATTGTTTTACAGTTTTTTTCTAATAAATTGTATATAAAAAAAAATCTTGTTAAAATATATTAAGAAAACTAAGATTATCAATTAGTTGTCGAATGCCGAAGATGTAATACCTGGAACGCAAAGAAGTTGCGCTAGTGATTGTTGCCATAGAAGGTGGTTGGACGGGTGGTGTAACGCTATTGCTAGAAGAGGCTCTGCTGTATCCCGGGTTGAATACTTCGTGTTGTTGCTTGGCCTCATTGCCCATATCTAAAAAAATCCAATTCACGGGCGAATAAATACGTATTCTCTTTTACCAAACATCTACTTTTATTCTATTTAAATTATTATTATATAAGTCTTTCCCTCCTCTAACTTATATTTAATCGAGTGTCTAGCATGGTGAAAATTGCGAATAAAAAGCTGAATGATTCGGGTTACAATATATGCACACACAAGGCACGCTCTTACTTACTATGCAACGCCGGTACAGACTTGCTGCTGTGGATTTGCTGAGGAGTAGC